CCGGGAACCCTCCGTGAAGGAAATTAGGAGGGCAAGTACTCGGAGGAGGGCTTTCTCTGCGGTGGCGCCCAATCTATGGAATGCGCTCCCCAGAGACGTCCACCTGGCGCTTTCGTTATTTGTTTTTCGGCGCCAGGCGAAGACCTTTTTATTCAAATGTTATTTTAATTGTTAATATTATTTATTTTATTCTTTTGCCAGGGCGACTTAATTTATATCGTTTTATAGGATGTTATTTATGTTTGTGAGCCGCCCTGAGGCTTCGGCGAATGGGGCGGCATAGAAGTTCCCTAAATAAATAGGTAAATAAATAAATAAATGTGATCTAAAGCAAAATGTTGCAGCATGGCATAAACTGGTTTGGGATTCCAATCAACCATGCCCTCTTTAAGGATACTTCATTGCTGCTGCAGCCCCACATGACCAGTTAGCATTCTGTGCGCATTGAACATATGGGGTCACCCACTGGGGCCTTTTCATTCCGGCTGAATTTAAGGGTTTTTAAAATCCAGATGTCTTGGACAACAAGTTCTATCATCCTCAGCCTGGCACACATAGAAGGCACTAGTGTGGGGGAAGCTTCCCTAGACTTGCTGTTGGCTGACCTCCCAACAGCTTTATACAAGCATATAGCTTCCTGCCAGGCAGCTCTTTTCCTCATTTTTCTTTTAATTTATACTCTGCTGCTTAACTAGGAAGCCAGTGTCACATAGTTTGGGTATCCCTGTTTTACTTCCAAACAATAGAAGCTTGTCATTATAAAGGAAAAAGACCTACAGCAAAGTATTGCAAACTCTCTCCTTATCTTTTAGCAAGGCTTTTCCTATTTAGGGTACCTGCTAGCCATGCCCTTCCCCAGATACCATATTCTGGAAATTTCACTCCCTGCACAAGCTTTTCTTACCCGCAATACTCTGTGGTTGCTGAGCATATTCAATCCTCAAAGGGCCTATTTTGAAGTGTGTGGAGTTTCCCTTTAAAGCATTTTTAGGGGTTCCCTTAAACATACTGATTGCTTCCCCTTTTGCAGAGACCCTGTTTTAGTTCCAGTCCTGTCAGCACTCACCACCTGTGTTTGCCATTAGCAGGAGTGATTGTATGGTGTTTACACTATAGACAAAGAGGAAGCATTGCAATGAAGGGGGGAGAAAACAGGCCATGTTGAGAAACAGTCTTTCGTAAAGCTAAGTATCAAACCTCTTTGTATGTCAAAACCAAAGAAAAAAGTGTAACTTTTCTCTTTCTCTCCAGATGTAAGCACCACCAGGACCCACAGCAGTTCCAGTTTGCAGAGGCAGAAGGCAAGGGAAATGGAAAGTCAAGATTTGCTGCATAATTTTTCTTCCTCTTCTCTGCCATGTTATGCACAACTGAGAAGGTGTCTAAAATACTGAGAAATTTTAGGCTATCTGAAAAGCTACTAGGGATTTCAAGAGCATGAGTCAGAGTTCATCTTGCCTTTTGCTTTTTCTGGAACACTCAGGAACCCCAACTTATTAATAAGTACATACCATCTTTGACCATCACAATTTACACACATATTTAGGTTTGCCAGTAAATCTCCAGCTTGAACTGATAGTGTGCAATACCACCCAAGCCCCAGAGCCTTGGAAGGAAGTGATAAAAGAGCCAGTTTATGCAGGCCCTTAAAGACACAATGCAAAGTCACAGTACTGGCAGCTGTTTTTTCCTGTCCCGTGTTTATGGCAGAGCATGAAAGTTAGCCACTGTCGAAACATACCAGGCCTGTTTTTCCCCTCCCAGACTTTTCCTGCACGTCGCTGACAATACCTCACTTTGCTACAGGCAGGAAATGTGCCTGTTCCAACTGTGCAGATCAAGCATAGAATCTGGAGTCCAAGGCAGGAAGTTGTGAGAATCTAAGCTTCTATCCCACATTGTTCTAGTAGGCAGAAAACTCTGAATCAAGGAGGCTGGATCTTTTCATGGTGTATTTCTCTGTGTCTTTCTCCAAACTACATTTTCCTCCTTGAAAGAAAGGTCACAAGTACCTGAAACTTGCAATCAGATAGGGTAACCAGGCTGTGGATTGGAGAGCACTTCCATTTCCCTCAATGTACTGAGAATGAGGTGGCTGGTGAAGCTTCTTCTGTCACTCATGCATTGCTCTTGCTTGCTAGATGCAAAGCAAAAATCTTTGCTGCAGCTGAGAGCTGGCAGCTTACACCCATTTTTGCAGCTGTGGCCCCTTTTCTGTTACAAGCCAGGTTTCCTCAGCTGCATTCTGTCAGGGCCAAATACCTACAGCAGAAGAGACTAAATGTATACATACCCAAAAGGGGGGGACTCCAGTTTGCATATAGTAATTTATAGGTATAGTTGCAGATTTAGAAAGGATGACCGCCATGTCCATAGAAATGCAATAAATCCTGTTATGCTGAGAAAGGCAGTGACCAGCTCAGTCCAGGTGCTGTGAAGCGGCAGTTTCAAGGCTCCTGCCAGCGCTTCCGTCTTCTGTGCCTTTATCTTGAAGCCTGGGCAACTGTTTAGACAGAGGAAGTCACCTTCAATGGAGGAATGTCCTCTGAAAAACAGGCCAGCTACCCAACCTAGACTGATGCCAGCAGTGGTTAGGACCAGAGCCAAAACGGCAGCTTTTCTTCCAGCTCCCCTTCTTCCTCCCTGTCCAACAAAGGGACTAGTTTTAGTTTTGCTGAAGGTTTAATTGCTTTTAAAGGACTTTTAAAATTAAGCTGATAGCTGCAAGTTCTCCACCAAACCCTTACATTAAAGAAGCAGGCTCCAGATTGTGACCCCACCATAGACCAGAATGCAGCAAACAGACTTTGGGCTTTAAATGTTTATACACAGAGTGTACTGTAGTTACTGGACATCACAAGGGAAACTTAAGGGATCAAACAACTCAGATTTTTTTTAAAGTCCTTTCAAACTGTGCCATGGAATCCTTAAGAAGAAATAGCTAATCACTTTGTTTAAAACCTCATCTAATGATGATGATGATGAACTGCTTTTCATCAGCTGGATACTACACTAACAGTTCAGGACTTTTGCTTAAGTTCAAGTTGGGAATCTAATCTTTTCTTTCCTTCCTGGTACCATTGCCTAACGCTGCTGAAGTCCAGGATCAGCTCTCTTGAGAAATCTGCCAGGAATCGTTGCCTGCAGGGAAGCAGTCGAAAGATGTTCAACTTTGCCACTTAAAATATTTGCTGCATGTTGTCTGGTGTATTAAGGCGGAAGGTTTCACCCCTCCATATCACCCCAATAAGTCACTACAGCTTTGGTCCCATACATGGAGAGTGTGTCAGGAGCCCATGAAGAGTTAAGTGAAAAAACCAATGCTGAACAATATTTTTGTAAGAAGAGAGAAGCAACTATTCCCCAATTGTCTAAAAAAGTAACACCAAACTGTAACGAAACACACAGTCGGTTTTTCAGGGTCAAAGCTCTTCTTTCATCCTCGTTTAAAAAAAAGGATGGGTGTGGTATAGCAGGCACATTAAGGCTGTGGCTGAAAGGAAATAATGCCAAAAAAAAAAAAAAAGCGTAAGGGAGGAGTTACATTAAATTACAAGTGAAAACAAATAAATGTAGTAGGCATAGTCTAAAGGTTAAAATGGTTAAAGCTAAAGGTATTGATGAAATTGCTCTACTGTGCAACCAATCTTCCCCATAAAATCATGGCTTGAAATAGGATTTCCTTTGTTAAGGTCAGATGAAAGTCTGAACAGCTCCAGGGAGAAATGCTGCACTAAACCATATGGCAGAATGAAAGAACATACTGTGGCTCATTTTGGCTATGTTCTCCCTGCAACGTTTAGTCAGTTGCAAGAAACTGCAGTTACGCTGAACGAAGCTCTAAGAAGTGATGACAGTAATGAGGAGCAGAATCTAAACTCTTCCCATCCCCATTGGAGGCAGTTTGCTATTGGATAACCTAAGGGTGCCAGAAGGTAGATGTCCAGAAGTTGTTGACTTCAACTCCCAGAAGCCCTTGCCAGGCACTACTCTGGAATGCTGGGAGTTGAAGTGTCAGACACCTGGAGATCTACTTTCTGCCCACCTGTATTAGGGGTCTAAATGGTGCAATTGTCCATTGCTGCTAAAGGGCCAGATGTTGCCCAAAGAATTTGCTCAGGCCTAGGCAATAAAGATTGCAAATAGTGCTACAGGGGTCAGATTGGTGACAAGGCAGCATAACATCCTGTCTCTCCAGCAGCGGCCATAAAGGGATGAATTGTTTAATGTTATTTGCCCCAGTAAAGATTAATATCCCTGTTTTTACAGCTAGTATGTAGCAGCTCAAGGCACTAAGAGAACTGCAGACCCTGGCTCCACATTCTGACTCGCCCTGAGGGCAGGAGTGGGGAACTTGTGGCTGGCTAGAGAGGTTCATCTACAGCTCTGATCAGCCACAGCCAGCAGAGCCAATCATGAGGGCTGAAGGGAATTGTGGCCCTTATGATAATCTGACCTACAAGAGGCACACCTCAGCAAAAAGAAGGTGTGGGCCATCTTAAGTCTCTTGCCTGAATCATGGGTGCTTTTACTTTATATGAACTTGATTTGTGTATTTGCTCTTGTGGTTATACTGTTGGCTAATACTTCATCCCTTACCTAAGAATTTCAGAAATGAGTATCACATGCCGCATAGTACAGCATTTCCTTTTCCTTGTTCAAAATCAAAGTTTGGCTGCATTAATTTCACCGAGGACCTTCAACAAAGGCCAGAGCTGTCAAATCACAGTTGATCAAGCCATACGAGGGAGCAGAAGGCAGGCTACAATCAAAGAGCAGGAAATGCTCCCTCGCTATCTTCCGACCAAGGCGAGAGGCACGGTTCCTTTGAACCAGCCAGGTACCTCATGGTCTGGCTAGATCTGGGTGATACTAAGCCCTTCTTTGTAAATACTCCCTTTTCAAACCTACCTAGCCCGAGACAAGCTTGAAAATTTAAGCTTTGTAGTGGAAGAAGGGGCATCTCATGAAACCTTGAAGAATTTCATACCAAAAAGGAATAAAGGAATCAGTAATGTTATCTTTATTATGGGTCTACTAAAAAATGAGAAGCAGTAGGGGCTGCAAACAGTGTTTCTCTCCATTTGAGTTTATAAGCAGCATCTGGGAGAAATGGGAGAGCAGCAAAAGAGCTGAGGTGATTTAAAACTATCCCCAGACAGGGGACGAGAGGTGACACTACTTGGAGAGATGAAGCAGAGCGACTGATTGGAAAGTATACCACCGTCACACAGGCAGCAGTTCTTAACTGCTTGGCTGGGACTGGATCAGGCGAGGAAAGGAAGCTTTGCTGCTTTATCAATGGAAGCCTTCTTTCTTGCCAGACTTGCTCACTTGCAGGCAGTGGGCTGTATTTCTACTCCACTCCAGAGGGACTGGCCTTCTTATCAAGTTCAGAACTACTGCTGCCCTTAGGGGGAAGGAGGGAAAGAATGGTACTATCCAGTCCCACTAAAAATCAAGATACTTGTCTGATCCCTCCAAGACTGATAATTTCCCCTCTGAGAAATGCCGGCAGCCTTGATGCAGGCAAACACAGTTGTTCTTGGCTTCTCAGGGCCCAATGAGTTTCTTGAGGAAGGCTTCCAGCTGGTCCTCATCCTTTATCCCTACAAATTTATCCACCACATCACCATTCTTCATAGCCAGGACAGTGGGCACGGCTGAGACCTAGATGGAGGACAAAGGAAGAAGCACAATAGCAGCCGTATCCCACTGACCTCTGAACATCATTTCAAGTGGCAAAGCAAACATTCAAGCAAAAGGGTTGGCTCTGGAACAAAGTGAAAGGTGAACATTTCTGAGAACACTTCAAGAGGAGGAAAAGTTAGCAGTTAACACTTAAACGCCCGGGGACTTTTGCTTTTAACTTATCTGTCCTAGTCATTCAACTCTAGTGTTGAACTGACATTTTGTAAAAAAGGAACCATCAACTGAAATATCCAAAGTGTTCATATACCCAGGCTGGTTAACAAAGCTGCATCCCATATACCTGCCCCAAGTCTCTGACAAGCTATTTGTTTCAGGAAACCCAGAAGGGACCACTGCTAACATTTCTCATGTTTCAAAGGCAACTCCACAGAGGCTTCACTTTAAATTTATCAAATTAATTTCAGAATGGGTTCCTTAAGTCAATGCTACTTGCTGGGAACAAAATACAAGCAATGGCATGACTTGCCCCCATCCCCACACATATTTTCACCACTTTCAGCATTCTGTTGCTTCCCGCTCCATCTTCTCTCCCCACAACCCAAATTTGGTTTATTGTTCTATCCTTTCTTTTTCCCTATCCATTTCTGCCTGACAATAAGCAGCTATCTAGAATCAGGCGAGAGCAGGAAGAGTATTGGGAGCAGAGAGCTAGCCAGGCTCTGACCAAGGTCCCATATCGCTGCTGCAGGGCCATACCTGGGAAGGCTTGCAACTGCACTGCTTTGCACAGACAGCCCCTCCCCACACACCCTGTATGAGCAAGTCCACTGAGCGTGCAGACAATGACTGGGAAGTTTACAAATACTTCAGAAGGGGCTGATGCATTCCACAGTTCCTCTGGCGCCCTTATCTGTAGACAACTCAGCCACTGGGTCATGTCCCATCCTTATCTTGCAGGCTGTCCATCCCTGGAATGCACTCACTCATCAAACACGCTCCCAGCTGCACCCGGCATCTCGCTGCCATCAGCAATTTGACACACACAAATACCCTCAACTTAGAGGTCTGCTTTAATTGGCCAGACCCTTCCCCCTTCTGCAGCCCGCTGCAGAGCAGTTCCTTAAGAGTGCTAGATCCCAGAGCAATGTCGAGTGGGTTTCATTTAGCAGAGCCACCAAACCTACATAAGTGAAGGCTCAGCATGCAAACAGAATGGCGCTTGTTTGATGTTCTTTAGGGCCATCTATGGGCCAGCTATAAAACTTCACTGTGAGCCTTAGTCTCCTTTTTGGTGAGGACTTGAATGATCGTAAGAACACTGTTTAATTTTATTTGCACCTCTGTGGAGACACTCAGCACAGAAACTATCAGTAGCGATATTTTACAGATCCACTATCTACCCCCTGCCCCAGATTTCAGTTGTAGGGGGAAGACCAAGCCATAGACAAGACCTGGCTAAAGTTTCACAGGAAGCTGATGGGGGACAGGGTCTTCTGTGTAGAAGGCATGTCACATAGCGAACCATTTTTCCCTCCTGCAGCCTATTTCTGCAAGGCTTCTGAAGCTTGGGCTCAATAGGGTGCTGTACACTTAGCTGTTCTCCATCCATACCAAGCTAGTTTCAAACTCTTAAAAAATTGACACTTGAGAAATACAAGAGACATTTTATATCAGATAGAGGTATGAAATGCTTTTTATTAATGGAATGGCAACAGAAAAGGGCTCTTTAAAAAGCTGGTGAAAATTGCTTAGAAAATGGGCAGGCTTGGAGTAGATAAGAACTCAGTTCTGTCATATGAAAATATTAGGCATGAATATTGTGTGTTTCTGACAGTGAGTGACATGATGTGTCTGTATAACAGTGATGCAGAGGAAGCAGAATGCAGTGCTTTTTATTCTGTTATTCTGTGTCCAGAGATTAGGCAGATCCAAAATATAATAATAAAATAAAGGCACAGGTGAATGCAGCTCTGGAACTTTTTCCAGAGTGGGAGCTCTGACATCATTTGCTGGAGTGCCAAGGTGATTCATGGACGCACCTTGCTCAGGCAAGCAAATGCAGCGATAACAAGGCATTCAAGTTTAACTGCTATTTGACATAGATTAGCATAGAAATCAGACTATGACAAATCTAATCAGGCAGAAAGTGGGTACTCCTTTTGTTTTTGTTTTTTGGATTAGGTTCCTTCTGTATTTGGCTAGTAGTTTTAAGAGGCCTTGCAAGATTGCTTACAGGAGCGGCTAGAAGAATAGTACTACAGTGCCCAGACAGCACCTGTGTAGCTGCAGGATCATTCAGATTCCCAGAGCTGAGGTCTGACCTTGGAGCTGGCAATGGAGCTGCACCTCCCTTGGTCTTGCAAGTCAGGAAAGAGACCTCAAAGAGGGGGAAAGGGGCTGGCCAGAGAGGGCAGAATGCAAGGTCTCCTGCAGCAGCTCCAATCCCCTTCCTTCCATTCGAACAGTCTGCAGCTGGGCAAGGGAAAAAGCCTGCCCAGCAGAGAATGCAGGGTCGGAGGACCAGGGGCGGGGGGGGGGGGGGGGAGACTATCTGGCTTTTCTATTATTTATGCTCACGGAAACGAATGGTTCAGCATAAAACACAGACATCACACACCTAGCAACCACTAACTGGATCTCCCAGTTAAACTTAAAGGGCTCAGCAGCAGCCCCACGCAGTTGGCTGCAGGGCTGGCATGAGGCGGTTCTACACGTCAATGTCCCACCACACAGCACGAATCTTTGCCTGAACCCCTACTGGCTTCCTTTCAATGTGCATTTCAATTTAAGCAGCACAACCATTCATGCACCATTTAAAATAAAAATGGCCAGAGTGGGAGGAGCAGGACCTCCCTCTCACTCACTCGATGCCCACATGAGAAGCAGGGTCACTGACTCCGTTTTACCAGACATGGTCATGCTGAGGGGGCTCCTGGGCCCCCTCCCAGCAGTTCTCTGCCTTAATTCCGGTTGCAATTTAACCTCGGCATCGCCTGGTGGGAGCATGAAGAGAAGGGGCACTGCTGGAGCAGCCACTGACTCAAGCGGAATACATCAGGCATGGCAGCAGCAAGTCGATGCGAGAGCACAAGGAAGAGTTCAAGGAAAGGTGGCTGCAGGCCCAGACAGGCCCTCTTCCTGCCTTTCCGGCAACCCCAGAAGCACCTACATGGTATGGAGAAGCTCTTTGCCTGAGGGGTGTAAAAAGACTGACTTGGCAAATGTCAGGGTTGGCCCAGACATTTAACAAATGGCATACTTGTCCCTGGCTGCAGAGCATGCCTGCCAGAAGCCGGCCTTCTCTACCAACAAGGGCTCTGGGAGCAGCAGAACCAGAGTGCCCAAGCTGCTTCCTTGCTTGGGAAACGCAAGATAAAACTCTGGCTTGCGCAGAATTCACTCAGGGTAGAGTCCTTGAGAAGCTTCCCCCACCCCCGCTTCCACAGCAGGAAAGATTTCATGGATGGATGCTCCACTGGGACAGTGTGGAGCCAAGGGCAGGCCAGGGCCCATGTGAAGGAATGCAGAGGCATTCCAAGGCGCGCGGAGGGAGGTCTCTTGCTCCCTCTCCCCCTTCAAGAATCTGCTGCAGCCAGCCGATTGTGAAACGCTCCGGCCAAGATGTCGACTACTGCCTTGTAAACAAAGGTGTGGAAAGTGTACTGGCAATTTACAGGGAATCCACATGACTAGAAAGAGCCTTCAAAACCACCAGTGATTTAGGACCCCAAGACTATAAGCAGAAAGGCTTTAAGATTTCCTTTGCTTTAAACCTACATATAGCATGAATCACTGTTCTGCCCTGGAGTCTAGGACACAGGTTGGCAACCAGTGCCTGTCCAGATGTTTTAGACCACAACTCCAATAATCCCTGACTGCTGCCTGGGGCTTATCATCTAAGCCATCTAGATGACACCAGTTACCTGTTTTAGGCAGCTCCATGCCATTTGCCTCATGTCCTTTTAAGTGGAGCTATTGGGAATGACAGCTGGGGCCTTACAGGTGCAAAACAGTCACTTTACCTTTACCAAGTCCTAAGGGAGATTTGGTGGGGGGACAACTAAGCAGCTTTTAAAGAAAACAAAAGACATCCTTTCAGACTTTGGAATAAGACAGTGAAATCCAAAATGCATCATGGGCCATGGGTGCAAAAGCCTTGGGTTTCTTCAGTTTCCTAAAAAGGAAGTTCCTAGTTCTTATACAGAAATGTGTTTGGCAAATATGGATGTGCAAAATCCATATCCAATCTTTCGAAAAGCATGAATATCCCTTCTTTCAATCACCTTGGTTACAAAGACTATTCTTAACTCTTCACGAAGCTTCACTAAGAAGCCAGTCAAGGCTGGTCGAGCCTGCCGGCATTTCTAGGCATTTCTAACCTGTTTCATTTCCACTGCACGCTCACTGAAGATCAAGAGGACTGGCTGACAATCAGCCTCCTGTAGAGATTCCCCCAGGGGATTCTCTCTCTTCCATCTCCCGTAAAACCTTTTTGGCCACCAAAGCTGCACCTCTTTTGCTGCAATCTCCTTGCATATTTACTGCACTACATCCACCGTTTAGACTGCACTGCACCTGTCCCCAACCAGGTACCCATGATTTCAACATGGCCAACAGTCAGGAATGTTGGGAGTTGTAGTCCAAAAAGTCTGGAAGACACCGCACCGGAGAAGGCTGCTGTCAACCGTCTGGACAAGGATCTAGTCAGAGCCTGTGTTTTTTTTCAAGGTCTAAAGCCATACTGAAACTGGTAAGTATTAAATCAGGAATGTGTTCCAAGAGCCTCAGTCCATTGTAATACAGGAGGTGACTGCTTCTCCTTCCAATTTTGTAGGGTCAGTCTTTTAGCTGTCGAAATGTTATGGAAGTTATTTCATTTCTATACTGCCCCACAGCCAAAAATCTCTGAGCAGTTTATGCTGACTATTTGTTAATTTACATGAAGCAGGTAAATAATTAGAAAGAATGCATATATAATAAAGCCTATGAATAATAAAGGCTGTTCCTGTACAAAATTTATCTGTCTATTAACCTCCTCCCCAAAGGAAACAACTACTAGACAATGCCAAAACATGTGTAAAAGAATCATTACCTGTATTACACTGTCAGTGATTAACTGACCTATCTAATTCCTGACTGAAGAGATGTTGCTGTGTCCAACAGACATGAAACCAAAGTCTTTGCTGTGTAAGATGTGAATCCACAGATGTGACTAGTAGATGCCAAGTGGCAATCCACTTAGGCATTTTGTGGTGATGTCCAGACAATTTATCAAATGCCCAAATGTGTCCATGGGTCCAAAACGAAGCAGTAGGAAAGGCTTTAAGTATAGGTGGGACCTACTGTCAGTTAAAAAATTAGAAAGCAGAATGAGGTCCCCTGTGCCATGGGCAGTTTCATGTTTGCCCTGCACCGTCTTCATTGCCATCATAGGCATCCTTGCTGTTCCATTCCCCCCACCCCTCTACCCTCCCTTTTCCACTCTTCCAGCCCTTACAAATTGAGAGAAAAAAAAGGCAGGGGAAGAGATTTATATTTTAACAGTGGGAGGTTTAAAAAAGGAAATAATCCTTGTGTCAAATGCCAAGAATGCGGTCTATCATGTGTACACATCTCAAGAGTTTGGTGGGCACATACCTCGTACTCAAGAGCAAGATCTGTGTGATCGTCAATGTCCACTTTTGCCATCACCACCTTTCCATCATGCCTGGCCACCATCTTTTCGAGCCTGGGGCCCAGGATCTTGCAAGGACCACACCACCTCCAAGGAAAGGAAAGGAATGAGAAGTTTAATTGGAGAAAAGCAGCAGTGGCAGCAGGGGAAAAAGCTGGTGCTTCTCAAAACACGCCAGCCCTCTGCCCCAGTTTTGGTAAATTGGCTTTAACTTTAAGAGCCACAGGAAAAATCTGTAAAGTGTCAAAATATCAGCCTTCACAGTGATCCCTCAATGGTTAAAGTAAGAGATTCATGCAGAGGCTTGGCAGGCCTAGAACTGGTTGACAATTCTAGCAAAAGGACAATTTGCATATGGGACATTAAAAAGTGCTTCTAAGTTTCTGGCCTATTTTTGTACCACACATGAATGAAGCTGGAGCATCACATGTTCAGCAAGAGTTGCTATAAAATCTAATTTACATTCTAGGCAACTTAGGTCTTCCAGTCTAGCCATACATATGGGAAGGGGAGGTGATGGTCACCTCTGCTACCTCTCCCACCCTGTACTGGATGACAAGGGAAATGTTTGATGCACACCACGTACACTGAATATGGGATCTCACATGGATCTGTTTAATGTACCTTGGAACCCTTCTGCAGGCACAAATCACTGTAGGACATGCCTTAGATATACCATCTGTTCAAGGGCCTGGATATTTTGTCACTCATCAGAAACTCCAGGCCAGCTGCAGCTTCCCAGCTATGGGACAACTGGCAAAAGAGATGCTAGGATGAGGCCAGGATACAGGACAGAGTTCAAAGATTTATTCCCCACACAGTTTGCTGCTGTCTAGGGTATGGTACATAGATAAAATGCTCAGCTATTGCTAGATTTACATCTTCTTTTAAAGCATCAACTGCAAGATGTGAGAGTTTGCATCCACATCCCCTTGAACTCTTTTTCAGACCAGTGTGGTGTTCAGTTTGCAAGCTGGAAGCTACTGTCCCCAGATGCTCACAGAACAAAGCATGCTACCTGCTTCCTTCTCCCCACCTCCTGCTAGCCAAGTGATCCTAAAGCCCAGTTTATACACTAGCTGAGCTAGTACCTTCTAAAACCTTTTTGTGTTGTGTTGTGGCAGCAACATATACAAGCAACAAATGCAAGGCATTCCCAACATACAGGTGACTCCCCACCTAAGGGCTAGGTGGCCCCAGGAGCTGGTGCAATACCAGAGGCACATTTACTGGGCCAAACCACAACTGATATCTGCATGTGGCATGGAATCACAGCTGGGGACAAGTGGGCTGTCAGGAGCTAGCATGTCATCAGAGTTGCCTCTCCCAACCTCGTGTCTTTCAGGTGTGCTGCAGTACAACTCCTAACATTTGGAGAATTTGGAGAGTACCAGGGAGATTAGGAATAAACTAAGAGGAGGCAACTTGTGGCCCTCCAGAACCTATTGGGCTGCAACTCCCCAAAACATCTGGATGCTCTCAAATTGGCGTAATACATATCCAGCAACATATCAAAAAGAAAAATTGCTTCCCTGATGTAGATGGATTCCCAAGCAGAATTGCCACCTTTAGTTTTAGGCATGGCTCCTCTGCTTTCACAGCTATTACAGGCAGGCCATTCACCCAATGAAGTGGCCCCTGACAGTGTACCACCTGGCCAGGCAAGAACTGCACCAGTTGAACTTCTGCCCTTCAGACAACCTCTAAACCAGGGCATGGGAGCCTCACAAAAAATGAAAACAGCTGACATCCCCATCATCACAGCCCCTGCAAAGCCAAGTGGGTTACTGGGATTCCTGTCCCCTCCTCCACTCAGGGACATCCTGGGCCTTCTTGCCTCAGGCTTGAGCAGAGCTCACACCGAAAGAACCAAGGAGGAAGCAGATGGTCCTCAAATGCTCTCATACATTCACTTCAGCAGGAGGACAGAGGTATCGAAACCAAAGAGGCTACAAGTACCTTTGGCAGAAGGCAAAAGGACAGCAATTCATTCCAACCACTTTGCCAAGATTGCTTGTAATTCCAGAGGTCCTTTTAATGCAGTCTATACATCCCCACCCTTGTAAGCACCCACTGTGAGAGTCAGGGCTGTCCCTGCCTTTGGGCAGGATGGGGAAGCTGCCTCAGGCAGATTTGGAGCATTGTGGAAGATCAGCAAGAGTTCCTTAAAGGATTCCGGTTGTACAATACTGGGGAAATTGCCCAGGAATAACCTGAGTGGCTTAGAGTCTATTCACCTTGACTTTGAAGATGGGAGGGCATACATTCCTGCTTCTCAACTGGAAGCAAAAATGTCTCTGCTCTCAGAATAATCACATTTGTCCATTACAAAGAGACCATACAGGAGTGGTGGTGCTAAGGAAAAAATGCCCTCTCCACCCCGGGATACAATCACTCCTGGGCCGAATGCAAACTCATCCAGCCTCCCACAACCTGGGGGGCCTTAAGATGTTTTGGATTACAACTCCCTGCACTACTGACCACTGGCCTTGCTGGCTGGGGCTGATGGGAATTTAGGTCCAAATTATCTGAAGGGCAGCAAGTTGGGGCAGGCTGGGCTAGCTCCTGGCTGCTCTCTTACCCCTTTCCACTGTCAGCTTCTCCATCACTGCTGATTGCCTTGAGCTGGAATAAGTCCTATTTGCGATTTAGGTACTGAGGGAAAATGGCTCCCACAACATCCGTGGTTGACTAGGAAACCACCCACATAATTTCTCATTTCCTTTCTCTCCTCCAACTCTCTTGGCCAAACAAAAATGCCAGTAGAGTTTGAGAGCTGTGCACACATACTGGCACACCTCAACTAGCATAAATGTTGCATTTTTATATTGTTTTGATCCAAGGTTAAAGTAGGTGCATATACAAAGTAGGTACATATACAAATATCTCACATTTGCCATTCACTTGTGAAAACTTTAGAGAAAAATGCAACCAAGCAAACAAGTAGTGGAAAGCACATACAGAGATGGAAAAACAGGTATGTGCTTGATGCCATATCTAGTTTGACTGTCAGATGCAGACCTTGAAAAATGTCAACAATAGATACTTAAGTCCAATGAAATTTAGATTTTTAGTTTCATTTATATCTTGCCTCCTTCTCTTAAATCAGTGTCCCCTATTGGATGTATAGGACTACAATTTCCATCATTCTCAGCTAGCACACTGAGCAGCTAAGTCTTCTTAAGATTTCTTGATTCTCTTGCATCTTGCCTGAGTTCAGATGTAATGAAAACTAATACCAGTCTCCTAAACATCCTAGCTTTGTTTCAAAATTAAATCTCATCCTTCTCCTCTTCACACAGAGCATCAGAACAAGGTTTGCCTGAAGCACTCATTCTGCTCAGACCTGAGTTGTTCATACAGGTGGGTTAAGAGGAAAGGAGGCATGCTAAGGCTATTTAACTTGACCAGCCATTCAGAGGCAAACATGGCAAAGGATATAGTATCCAAAAGTAGCTCTAACCCTAACCCATGCCTGCAGCAGTTTGCATGGCATATGCTGCCAGCAATTAAAGAAAAATTTGCAGGGAGGAAAGGTCAGTACTGTTTTGCTGGGCTGCTTCTCACCATTTGACATTTGAAAGCAAAGCACCAAGTTAACCTGAGAGTAGCCTAGCTTTGACAATGTCCTAGATGATGCCTCCTATACTCTGACAGGAGACCCTATCCAGGTAATCGATGAAGTAAGGCCTCTCATTTTAGATATTCGGGGTTGCACACCTCTAAAAATTCAACAAAAATAATAAACACACACACATTTGCCCAAATCTTGGGGGGGGGGGGAGAGAGAGAGAGAGAGTGAGAGAGAGAGAATGGCAAACCGGTGACAGTTCCTCCAATGTGCCACTTGGGCACCCTGAAGGGGCTGTCACTTCAGAGACTGTGAAAAGGAATTTCTGGAAAGAAAGGAAAAAGAAATCAAGATTAAGTCATGGCAACTGCCAAAGGGGCTGCTGTAGCAGCAAGGAGATAAGTTAAGACTGATTCTGCCACTGCACATGTAGAAGTTGAGGGGACAATCACTAAAGACAGGGCAGAAAATCAAGCTGTGTCTCTCCTTTGCTACTGACAGTTGAAAGTCAAGAGAAAACACACCCTCTGTACTCACTGGGCATGGAAATCTATCACCACCGGCTTCTGACTCTTCAAAACTCTGTCTTGGAAATCATCTCCATCCTGGATATTAAAGGTATGCCTGAAGACCTGAGTGGTGGAAAATGTCCTTGCTGTTGCAGGAGCAGCAGTGAAGGGAAGGGGCATCCGCCAAGTGATGCTGCACGGTGCAGCCGAGGTCCTGCATAGGAGCAATGAGGGTGGGGAACAAAGAGGGGCTGAGAGCTGCTTGACAGGGATGGACCGGAATGGCCTGAGGAGTTTTTGGGCCATCTGGAAGAGGAAGGAGAATAAAAACATCAAAAAGGGCAAAGGGAAAGTGGGAGTGCTAGCAAACTCCTGCATATCCTTCCTGCCCCGTCTCCCACCAGCCTAATTCCATTTTTTCCTTTCCAGCTGATTCCAAGGATTCTTGTGGCTAACACTCCCGAAGTCCACTTTAAATGAACCTTTGCTGGATCCAACTTGGGTTTCCCATTTCAGCTTTGGCAATGTTTTGCCATTTTCAAAGCGAACTTGTTTGCATCCTATGCTGCCTCTAATACTCTGGTACATTAACTATATTAATGTTAATTGTATATATAGTGAGCACATCTAAGCATGGTGCAAACAAACATTAAAACGGATAGACCTGCCTGTAGGCTTTCTGTTTTATCCAGACTTCCTCAGTCTGATGCCCTTCTGATGTGTTGGACAGCAATTTCCATTAATTCCTAGCCAACACAGCCCAAAGACTGGTCTAATTTAACCTACATTCTGGGTTACAACCTAGTCTATGATCCTCATCTTGGCTCACTCACACTGAAGATTGCTAGGTCCAAAGATCAACATGATAGGCATGCTGCAACTATGGGGAATGAAACAGAGGACATTTCCCCCTTCTCTCTGGAACTATGAGGCAACCTGCAAAACAAAGGGGTTTTTGGCAGTCAGCCCCACTATCCTCTAAACTGCAATACCTTTGCCTGATATTTTAACCAGTCCGCCTAGTTGATCTGGCACCTTCAGTTATATTATTTAAGGGGGAAACATCAATTTTTTCACTGGGCAGTTCTCATCTGAAAGCAATGTCTCTTTCCTGAACAACAGGCCTCTTCCCCCTGCAGGCACACTCTTTGGAATACTCTTACTGTAGTCTTGAAACATCACCCCTTATTGTGACACACAATTACTACTATCACCTCAGCTGGGTTTCTCATTGTGGCAGAATGCTTTGCAGTTCCTGCTTCTTATCAAAACCTTCAAGGCAGAATAACTTGAGTATTAGCAAGCAACTTGACTGAACCTGTCCACAGAGGCTCATGGTGGAGCTCAGGTATTCAATATGCCATTTCAGTTTCCTCAAACCTGGTGGCCTCTGGATGTGTTGAACTACAACTCCCATGACCACCAGCCACCATGGTAATTGCTGGCAAGGGTGATGTGAGTTGTAGCCCAGTTTGTCTGGAGGGCACCAGGTCGAGGAAGACTGCTATATTTGCTTTTAGAGAACAAAATGGCACTTATACGTTGTTTCTTACACATGCTTAAACTGTTACCCAGCAATTATATTCCAAATTGGACATCCAGTTCTGAAGGACTGCAGAGCAACTGCTCTTACCAAAGTTATTATTGCACCGCAGAGTGTTCAAAGCATCTAACAAGTAATCTTTACAACAACCCTGTAAGATTATCCTCATAAGTGTAGGTTATTTCATCAGGGCTAGTGTGCAACAAAAATGGAAAAAGCACTGCAAATCAAGTTTCTTTTAGCATATGGAGTGTTGTCACCTTTTATTTGGTGGGGTGGGAAAGGGAGGCCTAGTAGCGCATGTTTCACTAACTATAAAGTACTTGCTTCAATGTGTTTTCCTAAAATTGAGAAGACCTTTTTCGTATTTTAGTGTACCCATCCATGTTTTCAAAATGCAATAACTTTCAAAATTTAGATTACACTATCAAAATAGTCAGCTGTATAGAAAACAGTAAACATTTTGTTTATCCAAGCAAACTCTAGTTAGACCTCAGTATTAGGTAAATAATTTTGAATTATATATACACATACAGATGCTCTTTGTACATTAAAGATAGTTGACGTGTACACAGTCCCAACCTTTGGTCTTGCACTTCTTGCCTTCCAGCCACTTTGATTTCTACCTAGGCTTGTCAACTTCCCACCCCCGCCCGCAACGTCTTGCAAAATTTGCACTGACATAAGTACTGTTTCTGGTCAGAGGGGAGAAATGATGACAGTTCCACCTGCTGGACTTCAATATATAAAGGAAGTGGTAAACAAACTGGAACCCTACCGGAATAAGTCGTTACTGCTATTACTACAGTGAAATCCATCTCATTTTTAAACTGTATTTCTCGGACAGGAAGAACTGAATCGCCCAAAGCTTCTAAATCTGATCTGAGGAGCTGCTGTCGAAGACACAGTTTGTGATTATCTACAGTTAATGGCACTCTGCACATGTTCAGAGGCATTCACGTCTAGCATAACGGTGGATTACGTAAGCCAAGTAAGCCCCTCTTGAAATTAAGCCCGCCTTGCCTTCTCCCAAGCCTAGCTGTACTCAACCTCTCACGTGAACCCCGGCGTCCTCTGTCAGAGCCCCTCTTCTTCCCTAGCCCAGAGTGATAACATGCTTCCCAAGAGCAAACTGCACCGGCTGCATCTATCGAGCAGAGCCGCAGGACAATCCGAGGGCGCGAAAACCGGCCCCGCAGCAGCCTCACCTTCACGCCCCCCGAAGCCTCACGCCGACACGCTGCAGAATCAAAAGGCTGAACTACCCTCCCTGCTTATTGGCAGGAGAGACGTTTGTCTCTTAAAAAACGATTGGCGGAGGAAAGGAAGTGCTTGAGAACTGTGGGAGATGATTGGCAAAGGCGGGCACAATTAGGCTTTCTGTGTGCTTATTGGCTGGTGAAGTCGTTCCAAACGTTGAGTGACTTTTTCTTCCTAGCGTAGGCGCTGATTGGCTACTGGAGAGGTCTGCCTTCGCCACAAACTTCTAAAGCGCCAATAGAGAGGGGGTAGCTCTGGGTCGGCGCCCGCCCTCCGGAGCTGGGTCGGAGTGCACAGGGCATAGTTTGTAAGGCGTTGTGGCGCGTTGACCGCTGTAGGCCCTTTTCCGTCTAAGCATGCGTAGGATTGTGCCCAAACAGTGTGGATCGCCATTTACAAAACTGTAATTACTTACAGATTTGCAGGCGTGATGGGTCGCAAAGCAGTTCTTAACTGCTGTAAAACACCGATAAAAAGAAGGACTTGAATTCCAAAACCCCAGCACCGTCGGGAAAAAGCAAACATGAAAGAGGAGCTCTAGCAATCAGAGTAATTCCGTAGGTAGCATTCTTCGAGCTGTCCGAAAATCTAACCCGTTAGGGATTGGAAGACAGACCTCGGCCAGGACGATCATTCTACAGAAGAAAGACCTGCAACAAAACGTTGCAGTCTATCCTGTCTTCCTAGCTCCAGTTCGACAGCCATGCTGTTGTCAAGGATACTGTAAGGCATTCAAGCAAGATAACCCCCTTTTCCTGTTTTTCAAGGGGCATGCAGGCACACACGTGTGAGTGCGCTTCGCATCTACTGCAGGTCTAACTGAGTACATGATCATTAGTAAAATGGGAAAGATCCCTGGGGTTCTCCAGGAAAAGCAGTTTCTTGCCTAACCTAGTTCTAACAGCAAAAGACATATGTTCTAACAGCAAAAGACAACCATTGCTTGGTTATGAGAGGAGGAGCTATCCACTTTTCCAAGATCAGAACTTGTTATGTAGTATGTCTTATTTCAAAATACTCCTGTGCAGGGTTTAGTCACTTAACCCTGCATAGGAGCAGGTAGCTTGGTTTTCTAGAATACCGTACAGGCTAATTCTGTACTGCTGCTCTGTGGTGGTTCACACAGAGGCTTATGCCACTGCAGCTAAGTGGGATGTTATAGCAAGAGAAAGCCGACTAGGCTCCATTTGCCTCTTTGCCACATTGCTGGGCTACTACAAGAGAGGTGGCTTTTTCTTCTACCAGCACTATGGCATCTAAGGCATACTTGATTTTTAAAGTAGGGAGCAGAGTTTTTTCAGGCACATTTGTAGAGATGTACAGTCTGATTTGAAATCTGAGATGCTTCTGTTTAGAAAGCAAAACAGAACTAAGTTTCTAGACTTCATGGTTCTAGAAATAAATGGGAGAGCTGTGATTGTAAACAAATAATGAAAAGACAAATATAGGCTCTATGTTCAGGTTTTTCAGTTTCTAAAAATATTTAGATTTTAGGCCAAAGTCTACTCTCTCCATTTGAGGCTCACAATGTCACATGACAGTCCATTGAGTTGAAAATTTTGTGGTAATAATTTGTGAAAAAAATCTTTTTTGTTGTCTGCTTTCTGTGCCAAACAAAGGTTAGCTCTTTTTTTTTTTAATGGGCTCAGGAAATTACTTATCACAAGATATTTGAATAAGACTCTTCCCATTCCATAGCTGAGCAAAGACAGACACTGCTGGAACTTCAGAACTTTTTCTTTAAGTTTATCCAAATAAAGCAACCATACAAAACACAGTTTCAATACAACATTACAATATGCATTCGCTTGATCATGACAGATATTTTAAAATAAGTTAATAAAATACTGTTCTGAAAAAGTGAAGTTTAACAAACTGAACTCCAGCAGCTCAGAGGCATTCCATACATACAGGCACAGACAAAAAATTAGTGGAATGTTGAACTACTTGAGTAGATGCTAGCTTGACAAGTTGGAAGGGTACCATGGTTGTTCTGGCAGTGGACCAAAGCATGACCTTTTCCTGCAAAGCCTTGCATAACTGTACTTTTGGAACTCAGGCTTTGCCCACTAAATCAAGGATGTAGCCACATCTATTCCTAGCCCTCAAGGGCACTGGAAATTTGTATTAATTTGAGCATCAAGCAAGCTGAAACTGTGGCCTCCTTAGCTAATTTGGCTGATGCATTACTGCAGTGACCATGTATAGTTAGGAAACAGCAGCAAAATCTGGGCAATAAAGATAGCAAGAGTGTTAAGACAGATGTGTGGGAACACTAAGGCAGTTATCAGGGGAAATAGTTCTGCAAGTTAGCAGCAGGCTGAACTGGGCAAAGCAAATTTCTTCTTTGATACTGGTGGAGTTGTAACAATGACAGGCACATATTGGTTGGTGTTTGTAGCATCACCAACAACTCTGCTCCACTCTCCTCCCTGGAGTAGGTTTCACTTTTTGTGTGTGAGTGTGGAGGATGAAGGATGGATAAAAAATATGCATAGAAGCCAGTAAAATAAAATGATTCAACCAATGAAGAGAGGTAAGGGCAAGACAGGGAGCTGATCCGCTTGTCAACCCAGCTTTGGAAGACCTGCTGTCTGTGTTTATATCACTGGTGGCATTCTGACTGCTAAAATATAAACATGGAATATACTACATGCACTACCATAAGATATGTGGAAAATGATCAGCTTAGCTAAAGGAAAAAAGGACTTTTTACAGCATTTTAAATAATATATATATACAAAATAGCACAGCTTCTTTGAAGTAATGACTGGAGTAGAAGAGGAGAGAACATAAGGTTGCATGTAGTGAATAAGGAAGGAAGGAATTCAAATTTTCCTCTGTGAAAGAGCTCCAGGTTGACCAAGGAGGCTCCGAAGCTGTAAGGATATAGTGTATGTTAGAAGGGGCCCGATAAGCACAGCATCCTTGGAAGATCCCACTGTGGATGGGGTTCTGGGCCCACATGAACTTCTATAGCTTCATTAATATAAACAGTATTGTCTTCTCCATCCTCCCTGAACCTGGTGCTACAACAAATGTACAATTTGGTGTAGTACAATTTGTAGTACAACACCCATCAAGGGCAGCCAGCATGGCCACTGGCTGAGGAAGGCTGGACTGCTCTGAGTGGCCATGTCCCTCTGAGGCTTCAGACCACCTAGCTTCTTAACAATGTTCCATCTGATGGTGGCAAGAATTAAACCCGAGATATTCTGTATAAAAAACATGAGCCCTACCATAGCACTGTGGGCTCTCTCTTCTCCACAGACTGCACTAGCCCCTCTTCAGTCTATGCTGCCAGGGTGAGTTCTAATTTGCAACTTTATTTGAGAAGGGACCCCGTTTCAGTCCCATTGTCATGAGCAAATGGCAGGGAAGAGGTTAGGAATTTATGAAGAAGAGCACTAACATGGATTGCTGCTAGGAACACCACCTGTAATAAAGCTTAGGTTATGGGGCATATAGATGTGAAATTATTATTATTAATACAGCTGTCATCCAGGAAGCACAAGTGCAGAAACTGCTGAAGGAGAAAGGGTATAAAGGCTATTATTTCCAGTTGCACACAGGAATGAGGCAATAGGTAAGAGATGAGCATGTACCATTTCCAGTACATTTCCCCTGACTCAGTAGTAGGGAAAAAAGTATGTGCACCAGAGGTAGGGGTATAATAAAGTGCAGTTTTTCCTACCTACTCTTACCTTAAAAAGTAAAAAGTGTAAAGGTAAAGGTTTCCCCTTGACATTAAGTCCAGTCATGCCTGACTCTAGGGGGCAGTGCTCATCTCCATTTCCCAGCCGAGGGAGCCAGCGTTTGTCCGCAGACAGTCTCCGTGGTCATGTGGCCAGCATGACTAAACACCGAAGTGCACGGAACGCTGTTACCTGCCCACCGAAGTGGTACCTCTTCATCTACTTGCATTTGCATGCTTTCGAACTGCAAGGTTGGCAGGAGCTGGGGCGGAGCAACGGGAACTCACCCCGTTGTGCAGATTCGAACTGGCAACCTTTCGATCAACCAGCCCAGCAGCACAGCGGTTTAAACCACTGTGCCACCTGCAGTCCCTACTCTTACCTTAAAAAGTAAAAAGTATATTAAAGTACAATTGTAATAGGAAACACTGAGTTAAGGAAGCTTTCTAAAGGGGCATAGTGCAAACAGAGTAGATATTGACCTTCTGCACAACAGGACAGCCAACCGTGGCTTAATTCATCTGCATAATTGTCGCATCATGCCGGGAAACTTTGGGCACCATTTTTGCATGATATCCACAGTAGCCCAGTTGGCCAAGTTAGCCTAAGCAGCAGGATGTGTTTCCGGGTTACACAACCTTCAAATTACCCATGGTTTGTTTTAGGGTTATTTGTGATTATCTAATTCTCAAACAACCTCTGCTGCTTGGGTTCACATGACATGGCAAGCCATGGCAAACTAGGATGCCATGGGCACCCAGCATAACACAACAGGCCCGCATGGGCAAATTAAGCCATGGTAGGATACAGGAACTCTTCCTCTTGAAAAGTGCAAGAGTACCAGTTTGACTGACTAGGCTAATGATTACTGTAGTGGAGCTTTTTGACAAACTTGGTACGGAGGGAATCAGGCTTAGCCGTTCATTTTGGCAGAGCCTTCAGACAATGCATAACATTTCCCTACTCTGGACGTTAACAACATCCCATTTATCTTTCATCCAGACAAACTCACCAGACTGGTAGTAAATTCAGGCACATACAAATATGCAAGGATACGGTACACAGAGCATCCACAACCAATGAATTCTCTTCCAGATCAACAAAAACCATGCAATTAAAAATCATGTTGCTATTTGTGTGTCCCTTTTTCTCCCAGAGACTGGTCCATATTATTGAAATGTAACACCATCAGCAGGCAACAACAATGACAGAGAAAAAGTTCCCTCAACTTTATCTAGTGTCAGCCCTCACTAATCCTGTAAAAGCCCACATTCTTACAAAATAACAATCGATCTACACAAGTCTTTGGCAAGTCATGGTCCCTACAAAGAATGTGTAGGAACCCAAGTGCACGTCATGGAAGTTGGAGGCTCTTTGTAGATCTGTGGTGGAGTATCATGACCACAAGCCGTGTGGAATCACAGGGAAGGCTAAAGTTCATCCTTGGTGCGCAGGAGATGCTGCAGTTGGGGGTTTGGCATCACGTGATCCTCCAACAGCTGGTCATGTGATTGGAGGTTAGTACCCTCCTGTTTTTTTGGGGAGTCCACAGCACTATAATCCTCAAGCAGCCCTGCTTCCACTCCATGACGCCTAAGTCTCTTGTTACCCATAAGCCCTTGCATTTTCATGTATCCCTGTTGGCAGAAGGGAGGCAGCTTCTGGCGAGTGAGAGCAAACAGAAAGCAGGACTCTATGCACAGAAGAAAAAACACATTCTGTAAGTTATAGTCCACATGAATGTGTAAGTTTAAAAAATACTGGTCTGAAACGGGGAATAGTATTAATTTCCTGGTATATGTAGTAGTAGGCTAAATGAATTTTCCTAAGCTGGTGACCTCCAGACATTTTAGTCTTTATCTCCTATTAGTCCCTGCCAATGAGGTCAATGGTCAGGAATGCTGGGGACTATAGTGTAGTCCAAAACAGCTTGCAAGCACAAAGTTAGGGAATGCTTTTCAAATGTTTTGCACTGGTTCCCTGGGATTCCACATGGGCATCTTTCCCAGCCCCACTTGGAGGTTTCACGGATTTCACCCTACATTTGTCCCAGAAATTGGACCATGGCTTTGCTGCCTTATAGGCAACTTTTTGTTCCTCTGCAGAATAGCAACAAAATAATCTACTAAAGTATGTGCATTGTTTACATTTAACCCAATGAAGGTGCAAAAACTGCTGGGGATGAGGGTACACACAAGTTCTGCTCCCAATGACCTGCACAGCACAGGCTCTGCTGAAGAGCTTTGAACTAAGTGTCTAGGAGGATTACTGGTCATGTGGAGGTTCAGCTAAACACACTTATAACCTCACGTTAGACCTCAGTGTATGGTCTTTAGAGGAACTGGATGCATGGGAACATTGATGCATGAGTAGGCTGACTCCCTGCATAGGGCTTACGGATACATTTAACGGAGGCACATTTTGCAAAATTCATTTGTTCTGTACTGCAGAATTTAAATAGAGTGTATATGTGTTTTTAAGTGCAGAGCCGTGGCCATGAATTCCCAGAGCTCTGATTCTGTGAAGTTCTTATATTCAATTCTACCAGGTCTCTGGATAGTATGACCATTCTACTCTGAAGTCCAAAGTTGTCTCTGTTAACTGGTGGTGTTAACTTATAACACAAATATTTCCTTGGGGTTGCACAACATAACAAACATTTGACATTTCCCAGTCAAAGGGACGTCAGCTGGTTTGCTAATAGGGTCTGTTCCCTATTCATTGCTTTCCAGACTGCCCATAGGTTACCTGCATAGAATCTCCGCAGGTCAGTTCCCAGGCAATTTTCCAAGAAACGTCTCAGTGGCAGGATGTGGGCATTTGGTGCGGTCCAATCTGTCAGGAAGTCCTCCACAATGTGATGGATGGCATCTGGCCGGGGCAAGGGCCAGCCTGGTGGACACAGTCTCATCTCACGTTCTGTTGGGAAGGAAGACAGAGAAAATATAGTCAGGATAAAGTTCAAAGGGAAGAATGGACAAGTAACTGATTTATTTATCCAACTGTTTTCCATTTTACTTACAAAGAAAAAACTCCCGAAAAAAGTGCCAGGTTACACAGAAATGTGCAAGAAACCACATTGCCCTAGTATTTAACAGGTGAAAATGCTATTCCTTTCCTAGAAATGTCTTCAGAGGCTGCAATCTCCTCAGCAGTTCACTCCAGCACAAGAGAGAAGCCCTTAAAACAGGGATGGGGAAAATGTAACTCTTGCTGGATTTAAGCCCCAGTCACCTTGGACAGTGTGAGATCAGAGATGATGGAAGCTGGACTCCAATAGTATCTGGAAAGCTTACGGAGTAGCTAGAGTGTAAATGCTAGTGCTCTTATCACCAGAGACTCTTCTAAATTGAATTTATTTTTAATATTTATAAGTGGGGTTTTGTTGCAAGTTCTTCATTGCTTCAAAGACTAACCAAAGCCAGGGGTTCTGAATATAGCGGAAGTAGTGCAAGATGTTTTTATTCATCTGACTGTTGGTGATTACGGGCAGAGAGGAATATGGGGGAATGATTAATGTTCTATTACTGTTCCAAACTCCAGGGATAAGGAGAAGCAGGACTAGAAACATATATGCACACACTCTACCGTTTTGCTGAACACCTTTTTTCAACTAAAATTATTCTGTCTTTCCCATTAGATGTCAGAAGAGCCCTTGCTTTCTGTAGTTCTCACACGGAGCAGTTCAGAAAGACTAAACACCTCATTGTCAAATACTCCAATCACAACAGGGGAACACCTATAGCAGTGATGGCAAACCTTTCAGAGACCGAGTGCCCAAACTGCAACCCATAACCCACTTATTTATCGCAAAGTGCCAACACTACAATAAAACCCGAAAACTGAGGTTTTAGTTTAGAAAAAACAACACACAGCCAACCCAAGCAAATATATATATATATCTTTGGCAGCGCACTGACCGGCCACGCAAAAGCTCAGACACATCGTGGCTAATGAGTCGTGGCACATGATGTCATCGCCTGGCACCACTACTACTTTCCGAGCATGCGCATGGCCCCTATGTGCGCAGTTTTCAAACACCTGGCTGCAGGGGCAATGCTGGGGCAACTTGGCTCCCATGCTGACAGAGAGGGTTCTGCATGCCTGCTGTGGTACGCGTGCCATAGGTTCTCCACCACTGGTCTAACCCTACACTGGTGCACTCCCCTAACTGTAATACAGGGGTAAAATACCATTGACAATAATGCGATTTTGAAAAAGTCTTCCTGGAGTAGCCTTTACTGCACATCTCAATATTTCTGCCCATTCTAAACACATTGCAACTATCAAAATCATGCCAGGACACCTTGTTTTTCTAACCCTAACCCTGCCCTGGTGCACACCCATAACCCTAATACAGGGCTAACGTTCCATTGAAAATAGGACAATTTTGAAAAAGCCTTCCTTGAGTAGCTTTTCCTGCACAGCTCAACATTTCTGCCCATTCTTAACACATTCCAACCATCAAAATCGTATCAGGACACCTCATTTTTCTAACCCTAACCCAGTGACGGTGAACCTTTTAGAGACCGAGTGCCCAAACTGCAACCCAAAACCCACTTATTTATTGCAAAGTGCCAAAACTGCAATAAAACCTGAAAACAGCCAGTCCAAGCAAATATATATATATATATCCTTGGCAGCGCACTCAGAAGCCATGCGAAAGCTTGGATGAGTCGCGGCTAATGTGTGGCAGCTCGTGACATCATCGCCTGGCACCACTACTCCTTTCCGATCATGCGCATGGCCCCTGTGTCTGCTGTTATCTGATGCTCGGCTGCTGGGGCAACTTGGCTCGCGTGCCAATAGAGAGGGCTCTGAATGCCTGCTGGGGCATGTGTGCCATAGGTTCGCCACCACTGACCTATAGGATCCCAGCACTTATCTAGATGGGTAGTTGAACCCATCAAGCTCAACTATCAACTTGCTAAAATGGAACTTCCAACTGTTCCGTAAGGACATTCTACTATGGCCATTTCCACTGCAGCAGCACTTCATGAGGGTATCGCTATGCAAGATCTCTGCAGCGAGGCTACACGGGCAACCCCATGCATGCTCATCCAGCACTATCACCTTGACACGAGAGTCAGAAGGGACTGTTCATTTGGACATGCCGTCCTCTCTGCCATTCTGCAATGGTGACACTTTCCCACCTCCTGGGTATGGTAAGCTTGCTATTCACCCATATGGGTGCTGCACAGAGACCAAGATGAAGAAAGGCAGTTTGCTTGCCTCTAACTATCATTCTTTGAGTGGTCATCTGTGCATTCACACAACCTACCCACCAGCCCCACATTGATGTTGATGACCATTTCAGGTGATGCTGACCTATTGCTGTTTACCATGCCAGCATCTTCTGGAAATCGAACGGACGGTCTTCAGTTAGAGTGGCGAGAGGGTGGGAACTCCACCCATTTATACTGGGGAGTGCGGAGGGCGTTTTTCCCACCAAAATGATTAATGCTGAATACAGGCACTGCACAGGTGCAGTACCCATATGTGTGATGCACTGAGACCACAACAATGAATCTGAGCTAACTTATGGCCACTCAGACGCTGTCTAGGGGACAAAAGGTTGCTCCCTAACCCACTACAGCCTCCATCCAAATTTAAGATCACATTGTGGATCTTAAATTGTGGAACTTCAAGTACTCCAAGTGCCCCAAGTTCATTTTCAGTGGGGAGAAGAACAGAGAAGCATCCACTTACCAGTGGGGAGGTGTTTGTAATAATAAATGACAGGATGCAGGAAATTGGACTGCCAAGCATGCTGTGCTTCTCCCACAGCACGATTATAATAGAAGACGTCCTTGTCAGGCCCAGAGAAGTTCTTCCCATACTCCATCATTATGACAAAAAGCCCGTTCTGAGCTTTTCTCCCCGTGCGCCATTCTAGGTCTTGCAGGACCCCAACAGGATACTCCTCCAGGTACTCAAATTCTGTGGCATTCCTAAGCAGAACCAGAATGAACAGAGTAACTTCAAAACTCTATCCAGTATTGCTAACTGGTGTGTGGGCCTGGGTCTCTCTGTCTCGATGCACTGGCTGGGAAGGGGAACTGCTAACTTTGCACTCCCCCTCCCCACAAAATCAAGTGTATTGATTAGGTTTACAAGTGACAGCTGTATTCCAGGATGAGTTTGAGTACACAACATGTACCCTCCATTTGAAGGCAGATCTGATCTCTTCCACCCATGCCTCAGGGACCTCAAGGCTAGATCACCATAACGGGGTTACCCATGAGGAAAGTCCTTCATTCAGTGGCACAGCAAATGCCTTTCAGGAAAGAAGTCCTGGGTTCAGCCCTCTGCATCTTTAATTAGGGAGACCCATGCCTGAAATCTCAGAGAGCTGCTGCCAGCCAGGGTAATTAACTAACTAACTAACTAACTAACTAACTAACTAACTAACTAACTAACGTTATAAACTGCTCTACAAAGAATTGCCAAGTTAGATGGACCAATGGCCAGACTCAGTCTAAGGGAGTGCCCCATGTTCCTATGATGACCGGCTGGTGTAGAATGCTGCCCCTGGCACAGCATCAGGTATGAGTTGGGATGACAGCATTTTACCATTTTAGAAACAGCTACTCTGGCTATCAGCTTGCTTCAATGCTCAGCTCATGGTGCTGCCTGAACCCTACAAAGTCCCACACAAACTGCGTTCCAGACAAATCGTTTATCATGAAATCTCTCTGTCTCATGCATGGAACTTCATTGAGCATCTCTGATGATGACATCTTCCACTTGTAACCCTCTTGTGTTTCCCCACTTCTTCCATCTTCTATCTTAAAACAGAAAACCCACCAAGATGAGCTGAAGCTCCCCATTTGATCATATTCTTCCATAAGAAGCAGGGCCTTCTTGAGTTATGCCTCCAGAGCTGTGGAATGCCCTTCCATGGGAAATTGGATTTGGATCCATCCCTTCTGCTATTCTACCAGCCTGTGCAGACCCTTTTGTTTCAGTATATTGTGGCCGCACTTGCTATGCTTAGTTAACTGCTGCTGCTTTTTGTTGCAATCTTGTTGGTTGGTTTCAGTTTTTATTTGGATTGATTTGGTGCTGTTTTAATGGGATTTGATTACAGGGTGCGTTGAAATCCCTTCGAGATGAAAGGGGATATTGATTGAGCAAATAAATATTAACCATCTTCCTCTCAAAGGAACTGTTTCAGCAGCCACCCGCATTACAAACATGACCTGAAGACACAATTATTCCTATCCACGCACGGCATTGTCCTGAGGCTGCTGGCATGGATTGCAACAGAAACTGCCCCTCTGTTGGCGACATTTCTAGGGGACACTGTCTCTAAAGGAAAGGAGCCTGGGAGAGCATTACTCACTCACTCGTTCAGCAGAACAACATCTGCAAGCACACTGAACATTTGGTAGAGGCCAGATGCCTCATTCACCCGCTGGACAATGGCGTTCGTTAACTGCATAATGGGGTGGCTGGAAAACGGCCAGGGTACTCCGTGGTGACGGACTTCTAATAAGCGATGAACTGTGCGAGCTGCATGGGGTAAGAAGGAAAGAAAGATGTGGATGGTTTAATAATGTGTCCACGATTGTGAATTAAGGAATGGAATCACACAACAACAGGAGAATTAATGGGCTGCACTGTGACAGAGCATGCAGGAATCTGGATAGCCTGAGGGCTGAATTCAGTTTCCAGAAAGCTCTCAGGGCCACATTCCAGTGGAGCTGGGGCCAAAGGCAAGGGGGGGGGGGAGGCAGAGACTCCCAAAGTACCAGCACAGCATGACTTGCTGAGGGTTCCTACTATCCATAATAGGAGACAACCTTTTAGAAAGGGGTGAAAATGGGAAAAGCTGAGAAACAGCAAAGAATCAGAAGCTGGGAGAAAGAGGGTAGGGGCTTCTGGGAACCTCAGAGGGCCACGTTTGTTCCTTAGGCTTGAGGTTCCTCATCCCTGTGGAATCATTTTATCCTACAGCAGGCAGAAGAAAAACATGAGTGCTGCTACTCACGCAAACTTGCTTGCTGCCCCAGTGATCTTAAAGCTATAGACACGGTCTCTGATTCTCTACCTATTGACTTTAATTAGACAGAATTAACCATGTATTCCATACATGCTCATCTTTGCAATAACACCAGAATTGCCTTTCACCAGTAGCAGAAATTCTAGCTGTTTCCAAATGGCAAACGAACTCTGGTAATTCCCACAATGAAGAAACAGTGGGGTATGATCTAGAAAACTGCAGAGTTGGCCAAATTAACAGAATTTGTACAACTGAAGGAAGGGAGGAATAAAATGAGAAGTTCTGAGATGTGTTAGTTACCATGTATTAAATACTGCAAATTATGTCATTCCCTTGATGTATACAATATAAGCATTTCACGTTGTGCTGTTCCTTACAAATTTTAGTTTTATTTACTACAAAAATGCCACACATTTCTGTTTAGTACCCTTTGGGAACAACGTGTTTCATGACTTAATTCCCTTACAATTGCATTCTCAACTTGGTGCTCTCTAAAGTTGTTTTGAGGGGAAGCTAGGAGGTTTGCTAGGTTAGGAAAGCCTGACTTATGGGAACTAGTTTTAGAAAGCCAGGTTGCCTTCCAGAGCAGATTCACTTCTGTGCCGGCTGACATACGTGGCACTTCGCAGACCCTACACGTCACACCTCCAAGCTCACCTGTGTATCGGAACCCATGAATAAAGCCTCCGGCAGATTTCCTAAAGTCAACTGAGTGGCTCGCAGTGCCCAAGACAAAAAGTCCCCGAGTGGCTTTGGCTTCATAGCTGGGCTTGATCAAAGGATACTTCTTCTTATTGCCTTTGCCTCGCATCAGCCCAACAGATCTGGGTAGGGGGAAAAAGTGGCAAACAGAGCAAGTCAACATTAAGAATGGATCTGAGCTGAAGTACTGACAGGGCTTATCATAGTTCAGTGACAGACCAAATGCAGATGGTTGCAGGATCACTCCAGAGGATCTCCAGTTAAAAGGGCTGGGAAAGACTGCTGCATAAGATGCCGGAGAGGTGAAGGTAGTCAGAATACTGATGGACCAGCAGCAATCCATATAAGGCAGTACAGTATTTTGCATATATTTATATGTTCATATATGTATGTTGTCCCTTCAACATAGGTCACCTGTGGCTCTTGCACAGCAAGATTGCAGCAGTGCTACCATGGAAAGGAACCATGATCCTAACTGTGAATGAACTGCAGGTTTCTTCTTTATGGTTGTTACTTCTGCACCAGATGTAGTTCTCACAGCCTTTTTTCTGTTATGTAGTGTCTGATTTGCTAAAGACACAATCTGGTGCATGTACAGACAGAAAATTTCCTACAAACCCCAGCATTCTTACAGCCCATTCTTACAGCCCAGACCAGGCTAATGTATAAACTATAGTTTCACAAAAACCTGAGTCCCCCAGTGTTCAGATGTACATGGCTGCTTATGCTGAGATGTAGCAGGCCACGTTTTCACCTCCTGATTAACAGTGGAACCAGCTGCCCAGAGAGGTGGTGGGCTCTCCCACACTAGAGGCATTCAAAAAGAAACTGGACAGCCATCCGAGTGGGATGGTGTAACGTGGTGTCCTGCAACAGCAGGGGGTTGGACTCGATGGACTTCATGGCCCTGTCTAACTCTACTATGATTCTGTGATAACTCAAGTGCACAATGTTGCCTGGTTCTATTTGGTGAGCCACTGTAAGTCCTGGACAAAGCTGGCATGGCCAAGTGTGACCGAACTGAAGAACAGCCAACATATCACTGCTTTCCAATTACACAGGGCTGTGAATTTGGTCATCCAATAACATGGGGATGATTGCATGCTGTGCGCCTTCATTTACACCTTCCGAATCTTTATGAACAATTGACCCTGTCAAGCTTGAGCAGAAACAAAGTAGACTTTCTATGCAGCACTGTCTATTCCAGCCTGCAGTAACCTGGGACCCTCCATATATTTTGGACTACAACTCCTATAACCCCTCAGGCAGCTGGCTGGTTGTGGGAGTTGTAGTCCAACACATCTGGGGGCAACTGGTTGGGGAAAGCTGCCCTATCCTATTTAATATACAGCGGCATCATTACAGGAGATGCATGTGTCTCTCATTCTGTTAGAGCTAGTTAAACAAGGCTGAAAGTACATCTTTGCTGCAGGACCCAGTTAGATACTGGTGAAGGGGAGAGTAACTGGTAGTATGAGTAGCAGTTGGCAGGAGCAAGGGGCAGATCACAAGTGAGCCAAGCAGTCAGGGAAGGATGCTTCCTGAGTGCTTGTCTGAGATACTCAAATGAACGAGTGACTGTTTCATGAACGTAAGTTAAGACTAATACCACTGAATGACTATGGAAAAATGAGACAGTGCACTGCTATACATCTTCAAGTAAGCCCACTAAGTTCAGTGGAGCTTGCTCTGAGGAAAGAGGGTAGGGGATTTCAGCTTTAACCACCTGACTGCCTATATGGATTCTGCAGGACACAGGCCAATGCTGTGGGCGTGCCCGAAATATTTGATGCCAAAGTCCAACCCATCCTACTATGGACTGAACTAAAAGGGCACTAAATGCACCACTAGAAAGCATATCTGTTTTTGGGTGGTTTTGTTTATTAAATAATGAGCATGGTGGCATTTGGCATCATCAATCAACTCTGGCCTTTGAGTTAAGAATGTCTCATTCATGCCATCTGCATGCATTCATGTTTCCCTTTTTGTTCTCTCTGCCCCTTGTATCTAGTCTCTCCCTCTCTCATTCACTTTGGGACTGGTCCCTCCTTACTTGTTGAATATGGAAAAGTCAAACTTCCAGCCCAGGCAGCGGATGACACGGTCATAAGGTGCCCGAGTAGCAAAGTTGTCTAGCTCATCTTGTGGGAGGATGACAGACTCTGCTTCACTGCTATTGCTGTTCTCGAGGTAGAAGCGGAGTGTAACGTGCAGCTTCCCTTTTCGGTCCTTGACGAGAACCAGGTCTTCCAAGTCACCCTCCAGAAGCCCATCCAGAGACTTCAGCTGGTAGGTGTCCAGGAGGCCATTGTTAATTGCTCTAAGGAAGGAAGAGTTGGGATGACAATTTTCAGTATTATTATTATTATTATTATTATTATTATTATTATTATTATTAT